AGTAAAGTAATGCTTTATTTATTATTAAATTAAAGTATAATAGGATAATTAAAATAGTATAAAAAGTTAATTTAGATCATTCTTCATTTAATATAAAAAAATTATAAAGATTGGTTAAAATTTGAATGATTTTTATTAGAAGTAATTATTTAATTTTATATTGGTGTACAAATCTTTTTGCACCAACCCATATATTATTATTATTATATTCTGAAAAAAAGTTCTTAGAACTCAAATTATTTCGTCAAAATTAATTTTCGCATGTTGGTAATGGGACGGGCTAATCTTTTGTCTTTCATTGAAAAATGTAGCAGAGGATATTCAGTAAAGATTAAAATTTTCATTATAGATTTCAGCTGTATTTCAAGGGAGCCGGATTGTTGACACAACATAGTTCGTACTCTCAACAATAATTATGACATTATTCTCGGATGAAACTGAGCGAAAATTCTTTCTCAATGCTGCCATTATCTCGTTTTTTGAACAATGAAGTGGATCATGCTTGCGTTATCACTAGAAGGGAACTTTGATTGTTAACTTTTCTGGTTCTTTTTTGCGTTAGGAAAAAGACTCTTGGTCGGATCGTGCAGAATGCAAGACGAAAAAACCTCGAAACGAGACGAATAATAATCTATTTTTTTTCTCGATAATCTTTCGCTGGAGTATTTTCTGATGCACACCGAATACTAACTTACACATGGTTAAAAATTCAAACCCGACGCAGATAAACCAAATAAACCATGTGTAAAAAGATCGATACAGCAAAAATAAAAACACATTAGTCTGACAACCAAATCCCGACATCCAATGGCTCAACAACCAAAGTTCTGATAATCCAACATTCACAATCCCGACAATTCAACATTCCGACCGATTTTAATGATTTATAAGGTCAGGGTAAGGATTAGGGCAGAGGACAAGATCATATATAAAATTGCCATCCTAAGCATTCAAAAACATTGTGTCGGATTTGTTTTGCCGGGTTCGATCAAAAATTTGCGCACATATTTGTATTTCAATATTCCATATAATCATCCCTGTAAAGTACTTCAAAATTAGTTGATAAAGTATGCAAGAATTTCAATTCGAAATTTATTCTTTCGAAATAAGCTTTTGATATATATATAATGTTACATTGTTAACGTTACATGTATATATTATTAGATTTCAAATGGAAATCTAGCTGGTTTACCTTCATTATCATAATATATATAACGGATACTATAAATTTTAAAAATATATCCAAGCGCAAGCACTTCATAAGGGGAAAAAATCTTTCATCAATAGTAACTTCATCTGTGTTATATCCATGTGCATACTTTGATAATTGATGATATAAAAAAGAAATACACATTTCATATAATGTCCCTTTGTCTTGTTGATATCACAGATTTTTTTAAGTAGTGTGTGAATTTATAATAATTCACCAATTTGTTTAATCTACTGTCGGAGCTGATTGTTCAGTTGATGATTTAATTGATGATTTAGTCAATGGTGATTCAGTTGGAGTCAGAAACAAGAGTTCATAATCTCCAAAATTATCATTTGTTATTTGCTCTCTTATCCATTATAAACCGCCACATATACTGAAAATTCCACGAATTTTCAAATAAAGAGTAATATAATCTTGTTTCTCATTTTGCAACTGCAATTTTTCTTTCATTTAAGATAATTTCTTGTTTGTGTCTAAGGATATCTGAAATCTGTTTACTGATTGATTGCGAATAATTACGGGAGGGGGAATTTTAATAGCATGACAAAAAAGAAAATGATAACAATTGAAGAAAATGATCGCTATGAAATTGACAATATCGATATGTTTTATTGTGTGATGTATGACACGACATACTGTATATAATCTACTGGACAAATCGAAATACAATTTCGCTTGATATTCAAATCTCAATTAATTACATGTATGTGACTATATAGAGGTCAAAATTCATATCCTGCTTCTGTGTGATTGTTTTGTATAGTGTCCTAGTTTTCTAGAAAGACAATGATGCATCATTATGATATCGAATGCAACATCATATGACAAATAAGAAAATTGTAACACAGAAAAAAATTGCTTTATGAGGAAAACTAAGCCGTATGATATCGATATGTGATGATGATGATATCAGACAATATACATATATTTCCTTTTTTATTTTCGAATATAACTATGGACATCGAAACGAATAAACACATTCTAAACTTCGTCCATACATATAGAAGAACCTGACCGATGGTTATACGTAATTCGATCATGAAAATAATAAAACACAAAGTAAAATATTAACATTCAAGATATCGTCATCATCATAGAACTAAATAATGACAATACATAAAAAAGTGATTAATCCTTTTACTATCAGATGATAACTTCTCATAGGACACTCCTTACCAAGATTTGTGGCTTAATCCTATAACCGAATCTTAATATGAATTTATTGTGTGCTTTTTTGTTTAAAAAAATTTTTTTGAATGGATATTGCTCTGTTTGTCATTTTGAACAAATTCACGGAAAATTTAATCACAAGGAAAGAGAATCGAATGGATATTTGTTTTAATTATTGTTTGAATTAACCTACTGAAGAAAAGATAATATGTAGTGTTCTAAATAAGGAAAGTCTCGGATACCGAAAAGTGTATATATATAACGACAAGTAAATGATAACGAAGAGTAGAAATTAATCATATTTTACAAACGTTAAAGATAAAAATGATTTTGCCATCATATGAAGAAACTTTACTATCTGAACCCAAAAAAACCATCAAGCGCTTTTTTCACTTGCACAAACACGCCTCAGGTCTTGATAAAAAGCAACCGATCGTTATTATCGGTATTCACGGGTATCAACCAAAGCTATTGCAACCATTTGAAAAATTAGATTCGAAAGGCTTCTGCGTGAAAATGGCTGAAGCAATCCGTCAAAAGTTGAACTTAGGTCCAAATGAAGGCGATATTACAAGTATTCCGTTGGACGGATACGGAACAGTTTTGAAACGACGAGATGCTTTCTTGGAGCAAATACAAGACAACAAAACGTTAAGTGAGAAAATCAAAAAAGCTAAAGCTTTGTTTATTATTGGACATTCGCAAGGAGTCCCCGTTAGCGTTTTATTACTACAGAAATTGATTGAAGTTAGATTAGTTGATCCCGATCAACAAACAATTTGTGCTTTGTTGTTGGCGGGAATCTCGCAAGGACCGATTTCGAGATTATATCCTGCAGTGAAACTTGCTGAAATAGTAGACGATGTTCAATCAGAAGAGCTGTTTGATTTTCAAAAGTCTTCGTCGCCAATATCGCAGGAATATCGTGATGCTACAATTAAAATTTTAAAGCATAGAGTCAAGATTATATATTTTGCTTCTGGAAATGATGACAAAGTTCCGGTAAATATCTTGCATATTTTATACTTTACAAAAATTAAATAAGATTTAATCAATTTCTTTTAAATAGCTTCATTCTGCATTATACACGAATATGGATCACCCGTCAATAAAACGTGGTATATATGTCGCCGATTCTATATATGACGAAAAAAGATTCGTAGTAGATCTAGTAAGAATACTTATTCGACTCCGAAACAATAATCATTCCGATCATGGTCTATTGGTTCTCCTGAGCGAATCTTTATTTGGATATTTAAAAGAACATGGTCACGCAGATTTACCCGAAGAACCCGAAGCCTATCAGTAAGTACAATTTTTGTATATATCACATTTTTAACTATATAATTAAATATTTATTTCTGAAAAATAGATATGCAGTCGACCACTTATACGTGTCAAAAGAATGCAAAAATGTTCGCGCAAAATTCACCGAATTTGATTACACGTTACCTGCAAAGTCGCGCAAAACTTACATACCATGGGCAATGCGCGGTCTATTAACTGACGAAAAGACAATAATCACTGAAAAACTTATCCCTGATTTCAATAATTTGCGGCAATGCTTTAAAACTTGGTCGCCTAACCGGACTGATTCGATCGCGTCAGAATTGAAGTATGACTTACAGCCGTTTGGAGATGATACGGAGGAACAGTATATTGATGATTACCAGAATTTGTCGAAGTTGTAAATAAATAACCTATTGAACATTTACCTTATATTTATATGTCTATTTATATATATATTTCTATATTTATTTTATTTTTGTAACTTTATGTTTGAATAGTATATGTATTTATGTTTGTATAGTATATGAATTTATGCTTTTATGTTTAATAGTATATGAATTTATGCTTTTATGTTTGTATAGTATATGAATTTATGCTTGTCTCTTTGTTTATTTTATTTTTATATCAATATTGCTATAATTTTAATTTATTATGTATTATTTTGCTTTAAATAAATATTATTTAAAAACTTATTTTAATTATTAATTTGGTTGATCATAAATACATATATCTAGAATTTATGATATGATAAATTCAGATACTAGAATATTCTACACCAGCCTGACAAAAGTATCGAACAGTGCTTGAATTCCTAAGAAAAATAATAGTATAATTTAAAGTTTATTATATTATTATAATTTGTGACTGAGTCAAGTCATAATAATCAATTAAAAATTTTCATGTAACAGATTTTGTGACTTGTAGATTACTTATTTGAATTTAGTAGAAAGATCTAGTTAAATAGATTAAATTAATATTAGAATTTATAATTCTGCTAAGAAATTTATTTTTGTAAATATCTTTTACTTTTAATAAATTAAATTAAATAATTTAATATTATTAAAAAGCTCTTAATAAATATTTTATTATAAAAAGATTAGTATATGTAACAGATTAAAATGAATTTTTGTGCATATAGCACATGATTTATGTGTATCACATAAATGTATATATGAATACATAATTATATATAAATTACATATTATTAATAATGATATATTATAATAGAAAAATAGTTAAAGCATGATCTGGATAAGGGTAATGATTAGGATAAAAGACAAGATTATATAGAAATTATATTTCTAATATTTTTCATATCTTGTATCAAATTTGTTTTACACTCATGATGAATTATACTTTAATTATATATTTAAAAATAATAATGTATCATTAAAATAATAATATATAATTATAATAATAATATACTATTACATCTTAAAGTTTTTATTATTTATTCAGATAATAAAATTATTTTTATTTAAAGAGAATTTGTCTCTGTCTCTTTTAAAAAAATCTATCTATCTTTACCATCTGTCTCTTACTATCTACTTTCTGTTATTTGCTCTCTGCTATCTGTTACTTATCTAAGTTTTCTTAAGTTTTTTACTATAAAAGTTTTTATTTTATTATTAATCTTAACTCATATAGTTCTATTATTACTATATATAGATATAACTTTCTTATTATTATTACATGTCTGCTTTAACTTTTATTTTCTTATTTTTTAATTAATATTAGTAATTGTGATTTCATCTTTTGACTCAAAGACTAATTTTCTTTAATGAACACTTTCTTGAATCACAAGCTTATTTCAATAAATTCATTATTTTTCTTCTTAATATTTTAACTTATATTATATAAGTATCATAAATGATAACTTGACCATT